TTAATATTACAAAAATACTGTTGCCAGCAAGCTTGCAAGTGGATATCCTATTCGAGTAAATAGCTATACATATAATAAATTGCGAATTCAAACTATTAAAAGAGTAAAGTTAATTGACATAATTACAACATATGGTTGGAATACAACTGGGATAATCTGATGGCGCTTTTTTGCCAAGCAAGCTCAAATATGTAAGAGCATTCAAATGCTTCTACAATTAATTACATAGCAACAGCAAAAGCATTACTATAAAGTAATTAATGTCCAAACACATCCTTTTATAAGGGAATTGTGGTTATTCGGCTTCGAACTTATGTAGAATTAGGAATTAAGAATGCAGGAAAATAAGATCTATTTAGTGTAGAGGAATCCAACCGGTTGCCAAACGAAGAATTCTCGCTCAAGCTAGAACGCAGACTCGACTTAGCTTGAAAGGCACCCTCATTTAGCATCGGATCTGAAACAATAGACTACTTCTCCGCAGGCCTGGTATACATGACCTTAGATTCAGTGCTTAAGGTTTAGGATAGTTTAGATCCCCAACTATGATATCTTGACCATCCTAAAGTTCTGGCATAAATCCAATAATCTTGACCAAAAATGCCTACTTTCAGCAGATTATGACTGGGAAAATGCAAAAAAGGCCAACCTAAGACAGTATTTTATGCACCACCTATCTCCAAGAGATGAAGGATAAAGAAGACGTGTAAAGAGAAGGCCACATTGCCTCAAAAAGGCCAAGTTAAACCATGTACGAGAAAGTACGCTTAGATTTTCAGAATGCTTTCATTAAATGAACATGCCTGTCAACTAAAAAAAGTATGTCAGAATAGAAAAGGAGTTGTGGACCCGTTAGCGATTTGTGCATCACCTGCCCAACATTATGTATACATGAGAGTGACAAGGGATGAAGATTTCAACGAAGTACTAAGATCGTGGTAATAAGAGTGGCATAAGACGTGTATAGATTGACTACAGAGGAGAAAGAAAGCATTGTTAGAGGGACCTTCATTTCGTATGAAAGCGCATGAAGAAGAGATTCGTTGGTCGATCTCACCAGATGAGGATGGATGAATGTTGTTGTACTGCAGCCGTTTGGCTTTTATACGATATTCATGTTGACGCAGTCCACGGGACTTCCTCCCTCGT